GCCAGAGGGAGGTGATCAAAGAGACAGCCCCTGCTCCCCTTATTACAGAAACCACATGGAGACTGAGCTGTCTATAGGCTACATATGATCAGGGTGCCTAGGTCCTCTGAAAGGACCATCTTAAGGTACAGCATTTGAGCCTCACTATCACTCAGAAGGGGAGAAAACATGCTACAGTAACAACACAGTACATCAAACAAAATAATGAAAAGAGTAAAAAAAAAAAAAGTTGGAACTAACAACCACTCTCCTAGTAAGAATAGAAAAAAGGTAAGATAAACTAGAAAGATAAACTGTAATAAGAGTAAAAATATTAATGAGATGGCTTGTTCCTGATTCCGGAATTTTGTTAGTTCATTGAGGGAACATTGTCAGTATAAGTTTAAGTAAATATTGATGATTCCTTACGGATTTATCAAACAACTTTGGTGTTGTTTATGCCTCATCCTTCGTTTACTTTCTGTACGGACTTCTCACTCTCCTGACCCCCTCACCATTATTCCATTTCCCACTTCCTCTCACCTGTATCTTGCTATTCCCACCTAAAACAAACCCTTCCCTCTCTATGATACTTTGTGGTTTCCTGGTTTCTGTGGTTACTCCATGTTGTGTACTCACATCTGAGGATTCAGAGCATAAACCAGACCAGAACAATGGCAATAACAATGGACTTGTTAATGTAAAATAAGTTTCATGGGGTCTTATCCCTAGACAAAGAACTAGAGGTGACTAATGACTGCTGGGAGAAGGATAATAAGCATCTCCCAGGGACGAGCTTCTTATTGGTTTCCAATACAAAGTGGTCAGCCCTGAAACCATTTACAAAGAGCAAAACAGACTCAACCGGTTATATTTTTATATATTTGTACACAAGTGTGTGTGCGTGTGTATGTGCGTGCGTGTGTAAAACATCAATAGAAAAAAGAGACTATCAACTTGAATGACATAGGAAGAGTTTGAGGGAGGATAGCTGGGAAAGGCTGGTTAGAAGAAAGTGGGGGGAAGTGATAAAATTCTATTCCATTTTGAAAGCATGAAAATATTTTTAAGGTATTAATAAAAAGTGGAAATGCAAGAAGAAAGAAAACAGATAAAAGGGGGGAACTGTATGGGATGAAGGTAAGAAATTATGAGGAAAAATTAATAACAATTACAACATATGTGTATATGCATTATATATAATTTAAACCAGTCACTAGTCCATCTTTGCTGAGATACAAGAAGGGAATCCTTCACTTTTCCTTTTAAAATTACTAGCAGTAGGTGTAATGCAGTGAGTCATTTTCTTTCTCAGATTCAAACAGTTGAAACCAGAGGGCTTCATTTAGACTGAGCCCCATTTTACCTTGCTGGTAGGTCTGTGATCTAAGAATAACTGCTGCATTTGAATTTGTGTCCACAACTTCTCTAACAGTGAGTACTAGAGCCACTTGTGCACACTGAGCCCAGGTCCTTTCTTATGTGCTCCCTTGAACAGAGTCACTGTCAGTGTGCTCCAGGTATTGCAAATTCTCAAGCAGTGCCTGTTTCCACAAAAGTCTGAAGATCTCAGACTAGAGAAGCCAATAAACCAAAGTAATCTGTACTCGGACAGGGGGCACAGGATATGAGGCAAGGACATAGAACGTAAGGCACACACCCTGAGTGATCTCTGCCACACCATGCTTGTCTGCATCCTAACACCAGCCCCATAGTTGCACAATTGCTCTGATTCCTCTTCCAAGTGGTTCTCAAATGTTCCAAACTGGAAGCAATGTCTGCTTTGCACTGCATCCAAGTCACAAGTTTTCTGTGGCCTTCAGTTTAGTTTGTCAGTGAAGAGTGGTTGGGACTTGGAGGTTCACAACTGAAACTACCTTTGACCCCTAGGTATGATGGTGAGACTCCTCTTTGTGACTCTGTGCTACTGTGCCAGTGGCAAGCTGAAAGCCCAGTAAACTCCTTCTCCAGTGTTCTCTGTGTTGGTCACAGGTGTCCCATTTTTTTAAAATTTTTTTTATTAATTACACTTTCTACACTATGTATCCCCCCTCTAGTTCCCTCCCTCCTCCCCTCCCAACCCCTCCCTTCTTCCCCCTTCTCCACGCTTGCCCCTCCCCAAGTCCACTGGTAGGGGAAGGCTTCTTTTCCTTCCTTCTGATCCTAGACTGTTAGGTCTCATCAGGAGTGGTTGCATTGTCTTCTGTGGCCTGGTAAAGCTGCTCCAACAACAGAACAAAAAAATCTGAGCACAGGAGTCTTCCCTGAGATTGATACTCCAACCAAGTGGCATGCATGGAGACCCCTGCACAGATGTAGCCCATGACAGTTCAGTCTCCAAGTGAGTTCCATACTAATGGGAACAGGGACTGTCTCTGACATGAACTGATTGGCCTGCTCTTTGATCAGGTGTCCCATTTTTTAAGCTCTATTTTTACAGAATGCAAGAACTGTGGAGTTCACTGAGCTTCTTTTGCTTCCAGCCCCACTGAAGGGCATTTTGTCTTCTTGCCTAGGGTGTTGTCAAATACCAATGCAAGGTTGTTTCTTTCTCCTCTCCTACACCTCTGTTTGAGTCAAGGTCTCAAAATGTAGTCTCCCAGCTATTCCGGAACTCAAAGAAATCCACCACTCTGCCTAAGTGCTAGGATTAAAAGCATGCAACACCACACCTAGCCGTTAGGGTTGTTTCTTTCACAGATCTAATGTCCAATAGTTCTGGATTTCACATGGCCTCTATTGTTGCAATCCAGTACCTTTCCATGCTACCCCCTTTCCCTAAAGACATATTCCTGCTTTATTTTAATATAGAAAAGATGTAAAACAAAATGCTATAAATTTCCAACCCACCAATTTTCTCCCTTGATACTGTTCTTTGAAACAGTGCTTTAGTCTTTTGAATAAAATAACATATATTTATACTATAAAAAACTACCCACATTTTTCATTGTAATTTGTTCTTTTTGCATAACATCTAAAATAACTCATTCAAGCTCACAGATATTACCATTTCTTTTCAAGAATTTTATGCGTAGCCATTAGATTGATGTCTTTGATATATTTTACATTAGGCTTTGGTGTTATGTCAAGTGGGGATGTAGCTTCATTCTTTTTCATGTGGATGATCACTAGTCACAGCACCATTTGCTCAAAACACCATTCTTCTTAGTCTTGTTTGACACCTTTTCAGAAACTGTGTATAAATATGACATCTTATTTCTAGGCTAATCTTATTTCATCAATCAATACATCTATCCTACACCGTTTTTGCTCACTGAACTTCTGTAGCACATTTTCAAATCTGGAAAAATAATCTATTCTAAAAATGTTTTGGCTTTTTAAGTTCCATTGCTTTTCTCTGATTTTCAGATCATCTTGGAACTTCTTTAGAAGGCAGCTTGAACTCAGATACAGGTTACACTGGCTATATTAGAGTCTGGCATCATCTGTAGAATACTGAGCATTTGGACTCATAACATGCCTATCACCAACTATCATTTGGTTCAAGAAGTCTGTGACTTGTGTTTGTAATGCTTGTGTTGCTTCAATAGTTTTAAAGCTCTAAAGTGCAATGAGAAATAGTGTCTTTAATGTACTTGCTCAGAATGTATTAATTATGCATGGTGTAACTCTGGAATAAAAATGATTATTACTGAATAAATGTGATTTTGTTTTTCAGATTCCTTCTTTCTGGGGCCAGGGACTAATTTCAGTGTTCTGAATCAAATACTCACATTTCACACTTTTTCAAAAATATTTGTCAGCTTTAACTGCTTATTTGAACACATTATATGACCATTTTATATATGAACCATTAAGTGTGTTTATATGTTGCTTTCAGATAGACTATGTACCCACAACAATGTACTTTCACTTTATTAGAGTTCAGAAGATATGATTCTCCTTTTCTTTCTTTCTTTCTTTCTTTCTTTCTTTCTTTCTTTCTTTCTTT